TGATTAATACTAAACACACTGTGTTCCCCAGGGGTCCAGAGCGGGTCCCACACAGGGGCCAGTTCTGCATCTTCATCTGGCACAGGATGTCACTCAAGAAACAGGCCCCACCCCCTGGCTTCTGAGAACTGTGTGTGGTGCTGTGGTAGGGAAGGCTGAGTGTCAATTTAGCTGGGCCTGGTGTTGAGTGGCTGGGCAGCTGGATCTAGTTCTTCCCCATGACGAGACTGATAATCAGCTCCATGGTGGGAGCGACTGGAGCAGCTGAGTAGCTGTCTTGGGGATGTGGTCTGCTTCCAGTACGTAAAGGGAAGCATTGAGAAAGGTCCGTGAGCTTTTAGGCACACTTGGATCCTGCACGTAGCTGAGTCTTCATTCAGCGGCCTGCCATGTTGTCTGCCAGTCTTGGGACTGTCCCTGGACTTGAACTAGTGGCACGCTGTGTTGCTTGCTAATCTTGGGACTGTGCCATTTTACTTGTCGACCTTGGGCTTGTCAGCCTCAGCAGCCAGCAGTTGCTTGAGTTAAGAGACGCCTCCAGCTCCAGTGGGCCGGGAGCAAGAGGCAGAGCTGAAGCCCAAGGTCAAGGAGCCTTCGTCCAGCCCCTAGAGTTGGCACTTTGAACTCAGACTTCTAGCCTCCTAAACTGTAAGAGGATAAATCCCTGTTTGTTAAAATCATCCATTTGTAGTATGTCTGTTACAGCAGCAATAGAGAAGGCAAACAGGTGTAATGGGGGGAAAGGACCTGGTTCTGGAGTTGGACTTGAATCCTGCCCTGCCAGTCACCAGAGTACCCTTGGGTAAGGTACTTGTCCCTTCTGATTCTGTTTTCTCTCCTAGAAAAATGAGACTGACCACGTTCATCTCCTAGGGTTATTGTGGGAATCAGCAAGAGCGTGTATGTACCACGTCTGCCTAGGGCCAGCACATGAAAAACACCTGCCACCAAGGCCATATAATAATTCCTGGCTTCAAACCACAGACAGGCCGATGGAGTGAACATTTACATCAGGTAGATACACTCCTTGGAGCGATCAATCATGGGAGAATAGAAGGGCAGACAGCTGTTTGCACAGGCAGACAGCTCGGGGGACAGGAGTGCATGGGAGGGACGGACACAGGGAAGAGGTAACTATGGGGAGGTAGTGGGAAGAGAGCTAGTGGGGAATTGTAGTCAATGTCATGAGGCAAAGTGTGTATGAACTACTGTATGGAAAGTGAATTTGCTCTGTAAACTTTCACCCAAATCACAGTAAATTTTTTTTTAATTGCTAAAAGATGCAAATTTGAAAAATAATAATAATTCCTGGCTTCATCTTACTCTGTGAGCCAGTGATGGGTCTCCTCAAGTGGGACTGGATTTCCGGAGTGTTGCCAGAACCCTCTGCTGGAGTCCAGGGAATAGGTGACCCAGAAAAGGCACATCCTGGAGGATTTTTTGTGTTTTTTTCTCCAATACTCTGGGACACACTGAGCTCCCTGAGAAGCCTGGGCACCACGGAGCACGTTACTCAGAGGACCTGGTATCATTCCAAGGAGATGGCGTTCACACTGTCGGCATGGTTACCATCTTGAGAAGGAGGGGTTCCCTGCCCACAGATTTGTGTCACCCAGATAGGATTTTAACTTTTGTGTTTTTTTCCAACAAACACAGGCCTCCTGCTGCTGAGGTGACCTTGTTGATTCCAAGCCAATATGATAATAACATGAACCGCCAAAACCCACTACCATCGAGTCGACTCTGACTCATAGCGACCCCCATCGGTTTCCAAGGCTGTAAATCTTTATGGAAGTAGATTGCCTCATCCTTCTCCCACGGAGCTCCTGGTGGCTTTGAGCCGCCAACCTTCTGGTTAGCAGCCAAATGTCTTACCCACTACACCACCAAACCAAAAAACCAAACCCACTGCCGTGACATTGATTCCAACTCACGGTGACCCCACTGGGTTTCTGAGGTGGTATATCTTTACAGAAGTAGATTACCCCACCTTCCTTCTATGGAGCAGCTGGTGAATTTGAACCATCAACTTTCTGGTTAGCAGCCAAATGCCTTAGGCACCGTGCCCCAGAGCTCCTGAATAACACTAACAAGCGCTCTTATTTATTAATCATTCCCTTGTATTATCTCACCAGATCCTCACAATCCTTAGAGGCAGCTGGCTAGCCCCATTATATGGATAAGGAAACTGAGACCTAGAGAGGCCAGACACTTGCTGTGGTGAAGGCCTCCCTCACACTATTTTCTGCTCATTCGCTTTTGGCCCTGTTCTTTTTGCTGATACCAAATTCCAACCTTGTGTCCAAGATCAAAGGCACCCTGGTGGCACATTGATTAAAGTGCTTGGCTGCTAACACCCAAGTACCCAAGAGTACTCTAGTGACTGGCAGGGCAGGCAAAAGTCAGCGGTTCGAACCCACCATCCACTCCGTGGGAGAAAGATGTGGCAGTCTGCCTCAATAAAGATGACAGCCTTAGAAACCCTATGAGGCAGTTCTACTCTGTCCGCTAGGGTCACTATGAATCGGAATCTGCTCACTGGCAATGGGTTTGGACTTGGGTCCGAGATCAGCCTGAATGCACAGATTTCTGGACTGATCCAGAGCCTTTCACCACGCTTCCAGAGCTCGCGTTGGGAGCATATTGGCTCTCGAGGCAGCTTTTGGCATTAAGAAGTGTGAAAATGTCCTGGGAGCTGCAATCTGTGAGCTGGTGAAGCTTGGAGCCCCATTCTCAGCACCCGCCCCCCTCAAGCATGTTCAGAGGAGGCCGGCTCCTGGCTCTGAGGGAAAGACAAAACTGTCACCTATGGAATCACAGTTAACATGAGGGAGGAAAAAGGGTTTTGCTTCAGTTCTGCAGATGATTGGGTAACTTGTGTTGCTTAGCCAGAATTTTCTAGATGGTTTAGCCTGAGCCATCTGGGTAATTGCTTCAAGCTTCTTGATTGCTTGGTTCCCACTGGGTGGGCCCAGATGGGGAGGGGCTGCAGTAGTGGGGGGGGAAAGCTGGGGGTTGGGACCAGAGAGTTGACACTCCCCCACCACACATACACTTGCAGGTCCTTGTCTCTGCTTCTAACCATAGCTGACTGCTCTGGGACATGTTACTTACCCCTCTCCGAGCCTTGAATTTCCTATCTGTAAAATGGGAAGCTGCAGAAAACAGTTTGGTAGTTCCTCAATCAGTTTAACATAGAATAATAACCATATGACTCAGCAATTCCACTCCTAGGAATATGCCCATAAGGATTGAAAACAGGTATTCAAACAAATAGCAGCATTACTCACAATGGCCAAAAAGTGGAAACTATCCAAATGTCCATCAGGTAATGAATGGGTAAGCAAAATATGGTATATGCATGCAATCAAATATTATTCAGCCATGAGAAAGAATCAAGGACTGACACATGCTACGATGTGGATGAACTTTGAAAAAAAGTGAAAGAAGTCGGACACAAAAGGTCTGGATGATTCCATTGATATGAAATACCCAGAATAGGTCCACTGCCATCAAGTCAATTCCGACTCATAGCGAGCCCCATTGGGTTTCCAAGGTGGGAAATCTTTACGGAAGTAGATTGCCCCATCTTCCTTCGTGGAGCAGCTGGTGGCTTTGAACTGCTAACTTTCTGGTTAGCAGTCACGTGCGCCATTGAGCTTGATTGATAACCAAAAGGTTGGTGGTTCAAACTCACCAGCTGCTCCATGGAAGGAAAATTGGGCAATCTATTTCCATAAAGATTTCCCACCTTGAAAACCCAATGGGGGTTGCTATGAGTCAGAATCGACTCAATGGCAGTGAGTTTGGTCTTTTGGGACTCAGAATAGGCAGATCTATAGACACAGAAAGCAAACTGGTAGTTGCCAAGGGCTGAGGGAAGGAAAAATAGGGAGTGACAGCTAATGGGGCAAGGAGATCTGTGGAGTAGTGGTTAATGCATTCGGCTGCCAACCAAAAGGTCTGCAGTTTGAACCCATTAGCTGGTCTGTGGGAGAACGATGAGGCAGTCTGCTTCTGTGAAGATTTACAGCCTTGGAAACCCTATGGGGCAGTTTTACTCTGTCCTATAAGGTCACCAGGACTTGGAATTAGCTCAATGGTAGTGGGTTCGTTTTTGGGTTAATGGGGTAGCAGCAGAACGAATGGTGAGAAAAGTGTCCTGGAAGCGGATGATGGTTGGACGACATTGTAAATGGACTAAATGCCACCAGATTGTGCACTTAAAAATTACTAAAATGGTGAGATTTGTTATGCATATTTTAACAAAATAAATAAAATAGGAGCCCACACTGGCACATAGCAGCTCTGACGGTCTAGGGCATTTCACCATTGAAGGCTCAGCAAACAATGGTGGCTTCGTTTCCTAGGGCTGCAGTAACAAGTACCACAAAGTGGGTAGCTTTGAAGAACAGACATGTGTTGTCTTACAGTTCTAGAGGCTAGAGGACCAAATCAGGGTATCAGCCATGTCAATTCCTTCTGAGGGCTCAGAGAGGAGCTGTTCCAGGCCTGTCATCTAGCTTCTGGTTTCTGCTGGCAATCCTTGGTGTTCCTTTGCTGCTTGTAAATGTTATCTTCACATGGCCTCTTTCCCTTCGTGTGATTCTGTCTCTGTGTCTGTTCTCCCTTTTTATAATACACCCTCAGAAGGAATTAGGACCTACTCAGGTAAAGGAGCTCTGGTGGTATAGTGGTTAAGGCATTTGGCTGCTAACCAAAAGGTCAGTGGTTCAAACCCACCAGTTGCTCTACAGAAGAGAGATGAGTCAGTCTGCTTCTGTTAAGAGTTACAGCCTTGGAAACCATATGGAGGACAGGATGAGTCCAACTGACTCGATGGCAGTGAGTTTGGGTTTGAGTTTGGCTGCTCAGGTATGACCTTGTTAACTGATACTGATAATATTTTCAAAGAAACACTCTATTTACAAACAAGGTCGCAAACACAGGAACATAGATTTTGGATTTGGGGGAACACAGTTCAGTCCTTAACAGATGGCATGACAACTCAAGAGGATAAAATAGGGGTGTTTCAAAGGACAAGTCTTTGGACCATGTCAATAGAGGGCCTGGAAGAAAAAGGCAGTTCTTCTATTCCATTCCCAAACATGGACAGCAGTTTGCCAGCGTGCTCTCGCTTGGTTTAGATATTATTGTTCTGATTTTACAGATGAGAAAACTGAAGCCCAGAGAGATTAAATGACCTGCCCAAATGTAGCAAAGAGAGCAAGGAGGAGGAGCCAGGACCCGGAGCCCGTCTTTGAGCACCACCTTCACCATTCTTGCCACTGCCACCCCTGACCTTCTGAGAGCCCAAGAATGTTTTTTGGTCGTGGAGTTATAAGCATAATTGTCATGCTCCCCACATGCTGCTTAAACCTTCCCCTAGGAAGTAAGGGAGAGAGTTGCTGAATTTTCACCAAGGTTCCCTGCCAGGCAACTTTGCTGTAAAACATCTTTTTCCCAGTATGTTAGTAGGAGGCCAGCAGATTGCTACAGCCTTCTGTCTCCTTCCAGACAACACTGGCAGGCTGGCCCCAACTCAGGAAACACGGGAATCTGGTAAGAGGCTGATTCCACGGGCTGGTCTCTGCAGACACAGCATTGAGCTGCCCCTATGGTCCTAGGCAGGACTTCTTCCACTAAAAAGATCCAAGACCCTCCGCCTGGCCCTTCCTAGCCTGACCCTAGCCATCTCTCCAAGCTCAAGGCCCACTCCCTGGACATCCTAAGTCCATCAAGCTCCCAGATTCTACCCATGACATTCCTCCAACTGGAAGGTCCTTTCCCACCTTTCCACCCCCTTCTCTGGTTCCTAAAATCCTTCATGCCTAGTTGAAATCTTAGTTCCTCTAAGGGACAGTCCCATTTTCTCCAACGAGAAGCACTCTCCCACTCTCCCCTTGCCCCTGGTCCCACTGTGGATCTGTTTACCATTCCATCATGTGGACTGAGTGATTTCAGAAGGATTGAAATTGACTGGCCAACTACTAGGAGTCAAGCACTGTGCTGTGCAATTTAATATACGAGCGCATTTAAGCCTCAAACAACCATCTTGTTAGGTGCTGTCATGTCAGTTGCAACTCACAGCAGCCTGCCTAGGCTGTGCCATCCTCACAATTGTTGCTATGTTTGCACCCACCATTCCACCACTGTGTCAATCCATATGAGGTAGAAATTATTCTTACACCCATTAAGAGGGTGTAATGGGGAAACAGCTATTCACAAGGTTTGCACTAGCCAATTTTTTCAGAAGTAGATGGCTCTGTCCTTCCCAATCTGTCTTAGTCTGGAAGCTCCGCTGAAACCTGTCCACCATGGGTGACCCTGCTGGTATCTGAAATACCGGTGACATAGCCTCCAGCCTCACAGCAACACCCAACCCAGAGGGTCAGCGAGAAAGGGGGAAGACCCTCAACCAGATGGATTGACACGATGACTACGACGATGGGCTCAAGTATAGCAAGGATTGTGAGGATGCCGTAGGACCGGGCAGTGTTTTATTCTGTTGTACACAGGGTCGCTATGAGTCGGAGCTGACTCCACGACACCCAACAAAGGGAAGCTAATGCTCAGAGAGGCAGCTGCTTACCTTAGGTCCTGCTCCCAGTAGGGGCAGAGCCAACACTGGAACCTCACTTGTTCTGACTGTGAAGGTCACCCTCTTCATCATTTATACCAACTGCCTCCAACTTCCTTAGGAAGCTGCTATTTCCCTTGAGGAGGTGACAGCCTGAGTTTCATTCGTCATCTAAGCCCCAGGGGCCTCTTGGTAAATGGTGAGTTCAATTTCATCTCACATTCTGCCTGCTAAGAAATCCTACTACTAGTGTACCCTCTGAGTGGCCAAGCTTTTTTTTTTTAACAACCTGTGATATGCAGATAATCTTGCTTACCAAAGTGAAGAGGACTTGAAACACTTACTGATGAAGATTAAAGACAATAGCCTTCGCTATGGATTACATCTCAACATAAAACAAAACTCCTCATGACTGAGCCACTAAGTAACATCTTGATAAACAGAGAGAAGATTGAAATTGTCAAGGATTTCATTTTATTTGAATTTATTTCATTTTATTTGAACACACAGTCAAGAAATCAAATGACGTATTGCATTAGGCAAATCTGCTGCAGACGGCTTCCCTAAAGTGCTAAAAAGCAAAGATGTCACTTTCAGAACTCAGGGGCACCTGCCCAAGCCTTGGTATTGTCAGTTGCCTCATATCCATGTGGAATATGGACAATGAATAAGGAAAACCAAGGAAGAATTGATGACGCTTGAATTATAGGGTTGGTGACGAACATTGAATATAACATAGTCTTCCAGGAGAACAAACACATTTGTCTTGGAAGAAGTACTGCTAGACTGCTCCTTAGAAGTGAGGATGCCGAGACTTCATCTCACTCACTTTGGACATGTTATCAGAAGAGATCTGTCCCTGGACAGAGACATCATGCTTGGTAGAGGGTCAGTGAAAAAAGAGGAAGATACTCAACGAAATGGATTAACACAGTGGCTGTAACAATGGGCTCAAACGTAGCAACAATTGTGAGGATGGTACAAGACCAGGCAGCGTTTTGTTCTCTTGTTCACAGGCTCACTGTTTGTGTTACTTCATGCCACTCTAACAGACATACCACAGGTGGGATGGCTTTAACAAACAAGAGTTTATTCTCTTACAGTTTTTTCTTTTTTATTTTAAGAGCTTGTTTTACATTCAAAGTCACACATACATTTAGTTTCATTCCCCATTCGCCATGTCCAAGCCTAACCCCGTCTCCTCCCCTCCTTACCCTGCAACACTCCCCCTGTGCCCCTCATCATTATGCACTCCTGTTTGTCCTGCATTTCCTCAGTTTGAATGTTGGTCCTTTGGTGTCCCATGTCTATTGCTCTAAGGAATGTATTACCATTGAGTGTGTGGGTGCGGCAGCCTGGGTTGAGTGGTGCATGTACATCTTGCTAACTATTGGGCTGAGAGCCCGCCCCTGGGGGTGAGTTTTATTCCAGGAGCAGAATGTATTTCAGGGCCATAGTATTGGGAGTCTCACCAGATTTCATCTGACCAATCATTTTGGTCATTATTGAGTTTTTGGATTTTATTCCACGTTTTCCCTCCCACTCTATCCAGGATCTCCAGATTTGATCCTTTCCCAAGTGGTTGGCATTGGTAGCCGGGCACCATCTAGTTCTTCTGGTCTCAAGGGCCATCGTGTCTTAGGGTTAATTGCTTCTAAATGCCCTTTGTGTGTGTGTGTGTGTGTGTGTGTGCGTTCTTCTTCACTTCCGACGCTAGGAGACCATTAGCTGCATCCTAGATGGCTGCTTGAAAGCTTTTAAGACCCCAGTCACTACTCACCAATGTAGGATGTGGAGCAACACTTTTATGTATTTTGTTGTGGTTGTGCCAATTGAGTCTGGTGTCCCCCAGCACTATGGTCCTGAGGCAGTAGATCTTTTGGATCTCTCTCCCATAGTGTTGGGATGTCTGTGAGGGATTACTCTGTGTCTGTCTTCTATTGTTTCTGTAAGGACTGCAGGTATTTTGTATCACTGGTGTCTGTACAAGATTAGCCTCAGCTGAATCTATCCTTGGTCTAGAGTGTACCTCTATTCACTGATCCCTGTCTGATCATCTCAGGTGTTTATGTGTTTATCTGTATAGCCTAGTGTTTGGTGTTAATGGCAATGTGGTATTGTGGACACATTGGTTGGTTTTAACATCTGTCGTCTATCACTTATGTGCACAGTTCGGTGTCCTCTCATTTCCCAATGTTATTATGGTGGTCATATATCCTTCCCATATATCCCTCCCCCTACCCATGTCAGCATGTAGGCCCCAACTATCCCGACATTAATCCCTCCCCTTCCCTTCCCATCCAGGTAACCTACTAGGTGCATTCCCTTTCCCAAGCAAACCCTTCCATGTCTTTTTACAGTAATGAGCTCATACAGTACTTGTCCTTCTGCGATTGACTTATTTCACTCAGCATAATATCCTCCAGGTTCATCCACGTTGTGAGATGATTCACGTATCCCTCATGGTTCTTTAATGTGGCATAGTATTCCATTGTGTGCATGTACCATAATTTGGTTATCCACTCATCTGTTGATGGGCATTTGGGTTGTTTTCTCTTACAGTTTTGGAGGTTAGAAGTCTGAGTTCAAAGTGCCAGCTCTCGGGGCTGGGTGAAAGCTGCTGGACCTTGGGCTTCAGCTCTGCCTCTTGCTCCTGGCCCACTGGAGCCAGAGGCATCTCTTCACTCAAGCAACTGCTGGCTGCTGAGGCTGACAAGCCCAAGGTCGACACATAAAAATGGCACAGTCCCCATATTACCACACAACACGGCAGGCCACTAGTTCACATCCAGAGACAGTCCCAAGATCAGCAGGAAACATGGCAGGCTGCTAAAAGAAGACTCAGCTCCATGCAGGGTCCAAGTGTGCCAGAAAGCTGAGACCTTTCTCAACACTTCTCCTTATATACAGGAAGCAGCCCACACCCCTAAGGCAGCTACTCAGCTGCTCACTGCAGATTCCAGCATGGAGTTGATTACCAGTCTCACCGTGGGGACTAACTACAACCAGGTGCCCAGCCACTCAAAACCAGGCCCAGCCAAGCTGACACAAAACCCCAACTACCACAATTCCACCCCTTGTCAAACTGGCACCTGTGGAGATCTCCTTCATTTAGTGGCTGCAGTCTCCTAGTTGAGCAAAGTGGCAACCTCACCCCCCTTGGCCTGGCAAGCCCCGTTCCTCTACCTCTTGGGCGTGGAAGCCCTGCCCCCTCATTTTTGGGGCAGTAGCTTTGGCCTCATCATCCCATGGCCCACACGAGCAAGCAGCCCCAGACTCCAGAACCATGTTGGTAAAGATCTGAGTCTTTGAAAACTAGGGGGCTGTGGTGGTTCTACCCCCAGAGGCCACGGTCCTATCCTTTGAGGCTGAGGCAGCTCTGCTTCCTGTTTCTTTGGTCTCTCTGCTTCTGCCGATTAATGCTGAAGGCAACCCACTCCGCCAAGAATCTTCTTGCCAGGTGGGGACCAGGTTTGCTGGTCCAATGGAGCCTGGTGTAACCACTGAGACTATGGCCCCTAGCTGCCCTTCAGGTCTGGAATTGAACCCACACCTGTGGTTTCCAGCCAAACAAAGTACAGGCATGTGAGTTAAACATTTACCTCAAGTAGACACACGCCCTGGAGAGAACAATCATGGGAGAAGGAAGGGCTGCTTATGCACAGGGAGATAGCTCAGGGTGCAGAAGAGTATGAAGGGATGGACACTGGGAGGAGGTAACTATGGGGAGGAAGTGGGAGGGGAGCTGCTGCATTGTAAATTTTGGTCAATGACATGAGACAAAGTATATGTGAACTGCTGTATGAAAAGTGAATTTACTCTGTAAATCTTCACCCAAATCCTAATTTAAAAAAAAAGAATCTTCTTGCCCAGAAAGCACCCAGCTTGCTTCCTCGGTGGGCTGCCCAACCTGCTATTCCATTTCATACTGGTATCTTCTACCAATTAATGCCTGAAGACCCACTCCGCCAGGAAGCTGCCTACCCAATGGCATCCTGCTTTCTCCTCCATGAGCTGGAAAGCCTGCTGCTGCTGTCTCTCTGCTGGGGTCTCAGGTCAAGGACACACACCTCTCCTGTTTCCACATTTTAGGTATCTGTCAGAGCAGCACCCCACTCTTCCAGTACCATATTCTGTTCTGGTTACCTCATGCCGCTCTAACAGACACAGCACAGGTGGGACAGCTTTAACTAACAAGAGTTATTCTCTTACAGTTCTGGAGGCTAGAAGTCCGAGTTCAAAGCGCCAGGTTCTAGGGGCTGGGTGAAAGCTCCTGGACCTTGGCTTCAGCTCTGCCTCTTGTTCCTGACCCTCTGGAACTGGGGGTGTCTCTTCACTCAGGCAGCTGCTGGCTGCTGAGGCTGACAAGCTCAAGGTCAACACATAAAATGGCACAGTCCCAATATTACCATACAACACGGCAGGCCACTAGTTCACGTCCAGAGACAGAGATCAGCAGGAAACACGGCAAGCTGCTAAATGAAGACTAAGCTACAAGCAGGGTCCAAGTGTGCCACAAAGTTGGAGACCTTTCTTAATGTTTCTCCTTATATACTGGAAGCAGCCCACATCCCTAAGGCAGCTACTCAGCTGCTCACTGGAGATTCCATCATGGAGTTGATTACCAATCTCACCATGGGGAATAACTACACCCAGCTGCCAAGCCACTCAAAACCAGGCCCAGCCAAAGTGACACAAAACCTTAACTACCACAGTCACTGTGAGTTGAATGAACTCAGCAGTACCTGACAGCAACAACAAAATTATGTTCTACCTCCCAATACAGTCATGTCTGGAGTCTCAAAACCTTCTAGGCAACCATCTGAGATACAACTCTTGGTCTTTATTCTTCTGGAACAAAAGAGAAAGAAGAAAATCCAAGATTCAGAGAAGGAACTGGACTCCTTGAATCACTGCCTCCTCCAACTTGAGATGGGAACTAGGTGGTACCCAGCTACCAATATTGGACGTTCTGACAAGAACACAATAGATGAGTCCTGATAGAAAAAGGAGAAAACATCTCAAACAGAACTTCAAATTCTTAAAGAATCCAGATCTCCTGGACGTATTGAGAATGGAGGAGTCCCTGAGATTATGGCCCTGAGTTACTCTTCAAACCTTGAACTGAAACAACCCCCTGAGGTCACCTGTAAATTAAGTAACAGTTTAGTCCAAGGGGTAAAGATTGTCACTCTTGAGTATTGTATTTCTTTAAAAATATGTACATGTGTATATAAGACCAAAGGGTCAACAGGTATTTTTTTGTGTTTTCATTGTGATCTGAGTGAAAGTTTACACAACAAATCCATTTTCCATACAGCAGTTCATATACATTTTGTTTCAGGACATTGACTGCAATTCCCCACAGTGTAAGAGCTCTCTTCCCACTTCTTCCCAGTAGTTACCTCCTCCCTGTGTCCTTCCCTCCCATGCCCCCATGCCCCCATGCCCCCACATCTGTCTTCCTGTGCAAACACGGCCCTTCTGTTCTCCCAAGATTGATGTTCCAAGGAGCATATCTACCTGATGTAAATGTTCACCGCATATGCCTGTCTATTGTTTGGCTGGAAGCCACAGGAGGGAGTTCAGTTCCCGTTCCCGACCTGAATGGTAACTAGGGGCCATAGTCTCAGGGGTCTCACCAGGCCCTATCAGACCAGCAAACCTGGTCTTTTTTTTTTTTTTTTTTATGATTTTGAATTTTCAACAGGTATTTTAAAGCATAGATAAGAAGGTTGAGGGTCAGAGAGATTAAGTAAATGGAAGTGAAATGCTTACAATAGAAATAATAAGAAAACTGACACAATGTGAAAAATATAACCAATGTCACTGATCATGATGTCTGTGACCTGTGAAATAGGAGTGGGTTTTGCTGTGTATAATATAACTAAAACTGCATAATAAAAAATAGCAGCTATTAGTAATCCTAATTAAGGATTACCTGAGAGCTGAGTGAAAGAGAAGAAAGGAGAGAGGACACAGGGGAGGAAGGCAAGATTGCAGGAGCGAGGGGGGAACCGAGGAGGAAGAGGAGGGAGGCTTCCAGGTGAATTTGGCGGCCTGCCTATCCCATTGCCTCAGCCTGCCCTGATCTCTCCCAGTTACTCAGTTACTCAGAGTGTAAGTTCTGCAGTTAACTGACCTGGCCTCAAATCCCAGCTCTTCCACTCAGAGCTGGGCAAACCTGGACTTCAGTTTCCTCTCCGTACAACAGTCATGTTGCAATGGTGCGGCCTGCACAGGACCTTGCGCTGTTGCCAGGAGGAACAAGATCAAGGCTGAAGGACAGGTTGAGGACTGCCCACTAGGCGCTTGGGACAATACTGTCACCTCCTTTAATTGGGGACAATTAGAGGACCAACTCCAACCCCAGCACCCTCCCCATGAAATCACTGTGCCCTGAAGGTCTGGGGAAAACACGGAGCTCACAAAATCCCAGACCACAGTCAGGCTCTTGGAGACAATTCATTGTGCCTTCTTGCTCTGAGAGGCAGCACGGTGTGGTGGACCAATGACTGGCTCTGCCGGCAGACAGACCTGCCTCCAAATCCTGGCTCTCCACTTGCTAACTGGGTGACCTCATGTCTGTCACTTTGCCCCTCTGAGACTGGCTCCTCCTCTTTTTTTTTCCCCAGAGACAAAGGACTTCATCACTTGGAGCACAAGCAGTAGTCCCGGTAGGCATTTTCTTGCAACAGTTCCCTGAGTCCCAGTTCCCACTTGGTTATAAGAAGAGGGCTTCCATATACAGTGGACGGCACTCCCGGAGCGGAAAGCTGAGTGTAGGGCACCCGACTCTTTTATAATAGGCTTTTTTATAATAGACTGCCCTGACTTCTGTCTTGGAGGGAAACACTATCTGTCTTCCAAGTCCAAGGCAGTCAGCAAACCTGCCCTTTGCCCTGGAGGAAGACATTCTGTCTCTCCTCCAAGAAAATTCACTATACAAACATCCTTAAAAAAGAGTCTGGAAAAAAGGTAGTCAGTGTCTCTACTCCCAACATGTGCAGGAACATGAGAAACCTATGGAGAAATTTCCCACAAGGATGCTATTCTCTTGGCCATGCTAATAATCTTATTTACAGAGGCTGGACTGAGTCCACTCAGTCTGCTGCCTCCTCATCTTTACTATGGAATTAATGATAATTCCTTTTCCACAGGACTGTTGAGAGGATTAGAGACAGTGACAGTGATGGTTCTTATTAATATAGAGAACTGAGAGGTTCAGAGAGAGAAAGTAATTCCCTTATGGGCACACAGCAGGTTAGCAGCCTTCCCAAAGCCCAGACAGACACAGCTTTACCTTGAGGAAGGGTAAGACCGTGCTTGGCAATGCAACGGAGGGACTCAGGTGGGACCACTGATGGGATTCCACGTCTCCCTGAGCTAGACAACAGCTTGGGTTGCCTATACTTGGAGTGTGCCAGAGACCCTAGTCAGAGCCTAGAGTGTATGTCTGGCCTGGAGATCTAATCCATACTATGGCCCTGGGTACTTCACGTTGCCTCTCTGGGTCTCAACATCTCCGCCTACCAAGTGGAAGTAAGAATTCCTAGCAGGGTGAAGGAGTTATGTAAAGATACAGAGCAATTTTCATAGCCACCCCCAAGCTCTCACTATACATCTCTATGAGTCGGGTCCGACTTGATGGCACATAACAACAACAAGGACAGCAATGCATTCAACTCAATTGCTATCAACAGCCATGGTTTCACCTGGGCCTCCCAGCAGCCCCGTGAGGTGGGAACCTAGTCTGCAGATGAATGGCTAGGAAGAGGCCTGGAAGCAAGATCCGGGTCAATCCTGTTCCCTCCACCTGAAATATTTACCCCTCCTCTTTCCTTGCCTAGATAGCATAGTGCCTAAGGCACTTGACTGCTAACCAGAAGGCTGGCGGTTCAAACCCACCAGCCACTCCTCGGAAGGAAGGTTGGGCAATCCTACTTCCGTAGTGATACTGCCTCGGAAACCCAAGGAGGGGTCGCTATGAGTTGGGGCCAAGGAGGGGTCGCTATGAGTCGGGGCCGACTCGACAAATAACAACAGCAACTTTCCTGCCTAAAGGAGCTCTGGTGGAACAGTGCCTAAGGCATTTCACTGCTAAACAGAAGGTTGGTGGTTCAAACCCACTATCTGCTCCACAGAAGGACGATGGGGCAATCTACTTCCATAAAGGTTTAGCACCTCAGAAACCCAGTGGGGCTCGCTATGAGTCGATGGCAGTGAGTTTGGGTTTGTTTTGTTTTGTTTGATTTCTTTGGAAGGATTCTTGGCCTCAGGTGCACAGTGCCGGGTCTGCATCTCCACACCTGCTGCTCTCCGTGGCAACCATTTCCCCCTCTCCTCCAGTCAAGGAGTTCCTGGACACAACCACTTTGTATGCCCAGAGCTTAGCGCTGCGTTGGGCACACAGCAGGTGCTCAATGAGTATTTGCTGAGCAACTGAATGCATCGTGGCAGCAGCACTAAGATGCCACGGGGCCACAAGGGAGCCTGGGAGACTCAGAGGAAAGCTTCTGGACTCCTGCCACGCCTTACATTAGCAGCGTCTTCTCTGAGTCCCGGCAGCCAGCCCCTTGGGATGCCATTTGAGCCAACCAAGTTCCGGTCACTTCTTCACCTTGGAGAGATAGCCATGGCCCTCACTCAGCAAGCAGCCCAGTAATTGACGTCACCGTGGTGCCAGGCGCTGCCTGTGAATATTTAATGCAGGCTCCACTGCGGCAGGGATGCAGACTAGAATTGCGGGGGAGGGGGAGGGGGAGGTGCACATGGAGAATCTCAGGGTGAGGGGCCGTGGGGAGCGCACAGCTAGGGCAGGCTTCGCAAAACTCTAACCCCTCTGCAGCCGAGCGCATCCATGCATTTTAGTCCTGGCTGAGCCACATTCTTGCAGTGAACGGGGGGGGATGGGGGGGTTGCTTACGGAGCCCAAGTGCTAAATAATGCAACATGGAAGGCAGAGCTCAGACGTCTCCACTCCAGGTTTGCAGCTGTGTGGCTGGGCGGCAGCTGCATCGCCTTGAACTTCAGTTCCCCTCATCTGTAAAGTGGGAGGAATAATAATTGCTTTCCTTGTGGGGCTAATGTGAGAGTTCGGTGAGACCAGCCATGTTAGAGGACCTAGCTTAGCACACAGTGGGTCCTCCACAAATGCTGAGCCCCATCTCCCAAAGCCAGGCATGGGAGCTGAGGCTGAGGAGGGGTGGGGTGGTTTCCTTGGCCACGGTGATGGGAAGGAGCAAGGAGGTACATGAATGACTTTTTAAGTATAAGAATGTCCCATATACCGTGTGTACATATACTGAAAAAATTACTTGTCAGTTATCTGAAATTCAAATTTAACTGCACGTCTTGTATTTTTCTTTTCTTTATTCCGGCAACCCTATGCCTACTGTGTTCTGAGTAGGACCCTCTTTGTGCTTAACACTTAGTGCTTCTACTCCTCCCTCTGCCCCACTGTGCGCCATCAGACTTTGAAGAGTTGTCACCTCCTCCTGGAAGCCTACCTGGCTCTTCAGGCCTGGGTGGTGCCACAGGGCACTTCTGTCCTTCCTGTTCACTTGGCACAGAGCCAACGTTTGTTGCATCAAATTGTTAAATTCCACAGCAGCCCCCACTACTCTCTTTCAGCCAAATCCTGGGGCTGTTCCAGGCTTCGCTGAATCCCACCACTCGCAGGGCCACCTGTCCCCACAGTCCTCCCAGCTCCCAATTCTGAGACATGTCTGAGCTGTCTCAGTCACTGACCCGGAGGGCAGAGTTTTCAGGCCATAAGTCAGCAAGATCTGCAAACTCCAGACCCTTCCCTTGTGATCCGCAGTGCTGAGCGCTGGCCCTTCCTACCTGACAGTACTCAACAAAAGCCGGAGAGTTTGCTAGATGCCCTCAAGCTCCTGTGATTGGTTCTCATCCCAGCGAAACCCAAACCCCCACGCCACCCTGGGGCAACGCCCCCTTTGTCCTTCACCTCATCTGAGCCCCACAGCCACCCTATAAAGGAGGCAGGAGGCAGCAAGCAGGAGGCATGCTTAGTTCCTACTTTACAGGTGAGGAAACCGAGAACATGTGGGACCCCTCTGTTCAAGGCTCAGCTCCCTGGACTCTATCCAACCTCAGGGACTTTGCACCTGCTCTGCATGGAACACTCGCAGATCTTCACAAGGATAATGTGGCAGGTTAACATGACCACAAATGCTTTGCTCTTCCTCCCACTGAGAGGTGGTGTCTCCCCAGCCCCTAAATCCAGACTGAACTTGTGACTTGCTTTCGCAATGACATGTGACAGAAGTGACTTTTTATGACTTCTGGAGCTGTTGTGGAGTGAATTGTGTCCCTGAAAAAAATAATATATATGTATTGAAGTCCTGGCCCCTGGCCCTGGGGGTGCAATCTTGTTTACAAATAGGGCTTCCTTTTGTTATGCTAATGAGACCATTACCAGAGTGGTGGTTGTTGTTATGTACCACGGAGTCAGGCCAACTCATAGAGACCCCTCCTTGGGTTTCAGAGGCAGTATCACTACAGGAATTAGATTGCCCAACCTTCCTTCTGAGGAGTGGCTGGTGGGTTTGAACCACCAGCCTTCTGCTTAGCAGTCAAGTGCCTTAGGCACTACAATACCAGAGCTCCCTACCAGAGTGGGGTGGGTCCTAACCCTAATCCCATCTGAGTTAACAAAAGGAGAGATGCACACGGGGGTGTGGGTGGGGGTGGGAATGACTTATGAAGACAGACACACCCGGCAGGTGAATCTATAAACCCAGGAACTCCAAGGATTGCCAGCTGAAATAGACAAAGGACATCTCCCAAGAGCCACATCCTGAAGTCAGACTTCTAGCCTCCTGGACTGTGTTCTTTAAAGCCACCTACGTGTGGTATATTTTGTTATAACAGTACTAGGTAACTAAGACAGAAACCTGGGCCTCAAAAGCTCTTGCAGCTGCCACATTCACCCTCTGGGAACGTGGCCTCAAGACTGCTACATCAGGGCTAGTTCTGTCACCTGGAAGGTAAGAGGCCCAGGGGTAGAGAGAGTTGACGTGGCTCAGCCAACAGCCAGCACCAACCACAGGCCTGTGAGTGATGCCATCTTAGAGCAACATACCCCAAAAAATGCACTGCCATTGAGTCAATTCTGACTCATAGTGACCCCCCCCAACTGAGTTTCCAAGGCTGTAAATCTTTACAGAAGTAGATTACCTCATCTTCCTACTGGAGCAGCGGGTGGATTTGAACCACCCACCTTCTGGTTAGCAACTAAAAGCCTTATCCACTATACGCCAGAGCTTCTGAGAAATCATAAATGGTGTTGTAAGCCACTTTGTTCTGGGATAGTGTGTTACACAGCCATAGATAACCAACACAATTGCCTCTCCTCCTTCAGGTCTCTGCTCAGATATAACTTCCATCAGACAACCTTCCTGACCATCCTGATAAAACCCCACACCCCCGCCCCACCTCTCCATCCCGGTATCCTGTTTCATCCTGTCCAAGGCCCATTATTTCTTCACTTACAGACCTGTTGTCTGTCTCCTCCACTAAGCTGTAACCAAAAAACCAAACTCACGGCAGTCAAGTTGGATCTGGATCATAGCAACCCCCCTTGGGTTTCTGAGGTGAAATCCCTACAGAAGTAGACTGCCATCCTTCCTTCCGAGGAGTGGTTGGTGGCTTTGAACTGCCAGCCTTCTGGCTAGAAGTTTAATGCCTTAGGCACCATGCCACCAGGACTCCCATTGGCTCCGTGAATGCAGGGGAGGAAGTGGTTGAGTTACCTGCCATCTCCCTAGTGCCTGATGAGGCCTGGAAGGACAAATTACCCAGTAAGCAAGGTAAACATGGCCTTACTTGTGCTTACTTACTAATCTGTAGTGAACCCGTTGCATATAGGTGTTACCACATCAAACACATGAAACATATGAAACTGTTCACTACAGCTTAATAAGTAAGCACAAGTAAGGCTGTATTTACCTTATTTATTGAGTAACCCGACAATGGGGCCTGGTACAGGGAAGATGCTGCAAATTGTCATTGTCTTAGTCGGGGTTCTCTAGTGAAACCAAATTCCTAGGGACACTATAGGACAGAGTAGAACGCCCCATAGGGTTTTTTTTTT